AGGGGAGTACTGTGGAAGTGGTTGAATATGATAAACAGTAGAGTCATGGTAGACTGAAGTGAGAAGTCAATAGTCGGTTAATAGACCTTTTTTGCCATATGAATATACGTTGCCCAGCCAATTGCCAATCAGTAGTCCTCGTCTGGTTTATCAAACCTGCCATTTTAATATAATGACTAAGATGCTTGTGAGGGCACACTCACCTACACGCACACAGCCCTAATTGGCGTGTTCCGAGTGCTACGACTATTTCCTCTATAGGTTTGAGGTAGCATTGCTAGTTTTGGGAGTCCTTACACACTTAGGGTAATCTGAGTATAGACCAGGCTTACTAGTGTAGCCATCCTCCACAAACACGGTGTCATTCATACTTCTAGTAAATGCACAGGGAAGTAATGGAAACAAATGATTTCATACTAGATATTCGGGAATTTTAAAAAAATACGACAAAATTTGATTCATTGTGGGGCAACAATTTCGGAAGACGAGGCATACTTTTATAAATTGAAATAAATAAATGTTGGTACAGCTAAAGTTTTAGGAGAGATAAGTTACCTCAACATTCAATAAGCATCCACGCTGCACCAAACTTGATCATTTCAGAAAAATCAAATGGAGGGTATATATGATAACCTTTAAGAATATTTAATTAGAAGCATCCTCAAAAGACGCTTCAATTACTAGATTGAGTGAACTCCTATTGGTCAGTAAAAGTTTCCATCAATTAACCAATTAAGGGTTAACACATTTTGCCTATAGACATTGAATTTTTTGATTGGTCGATCGAAGGGACACTTGTCGATGCAACCTTACGATTGCTCTTACTTGCAAGAACACTCATTCCACAATGACCAAAGGAGCGCAAACGCAATTTTTCGGATTTCCGGGAATACGAGGTCGCAAAATTGTAATAGCTGTAGATGGCTCTGCTAATGCAAAATATGCTTTCCGATGGTATCTTAAACATTTCAGAATGCCTGATGATAGGGTGTTATTTTTGCATATTTTGCAAGCCCCCTCATTAACGGCATTCAGTTTAAACAGTCTCGGATCAGGGCCTGTAGAGGAGTGGAACAAGAAACATCGCGAAAATGAGGGTAGAGTTCGACAAATCGAGGAGGACTACATTGCAGAGGGTCAAGCGGTGGCCTTGAATTGTGCATTTCTTAGTGAACCTGCCGAAAAGATAGGCGAAGGTATCATCCACACAGCTCAGAGTTTGCATGCGGATTTGATTATCATGGGAACTCGTGGTCTTCGGGCTGTTTCTCGTGCTCTTCTTGGCAGCGTGAGCGATTTTGTCACTCGCCAGGGCGTTGTACCGGTTACCGTGGTACCTAGCAAAAATAACTAAAAACCAAAATTTATTGAAAATTTTGTTTATTTTTCCCATTTTCATGCTCATTTTGAACTCATATTTGCATTCCATACTCAATTAAATGTTGAATTTCGATTTTTTACATAAAGTAATCATTACGATCCCAGTCATGGAATATCCAATTAACAAATTTTGTTTTGATTTGCACAATTATAATTGAATTTCAATGTTTTCATTTCGGATGGATTTGGGATAATTTATTAAATTTTCTTTAATTTTTTAGATATCTGAAAATTTCGGAACACATGTGTACTTTTAAAAACCATGTAGATTATTTATGATTGACCTTAAAATAACTTTAGGTGCAGCCAAAGATTCCTTGATAATTAGCATAAGCAAAATAAAGATACAAAAGGTGAACGACTTTATATTTTGCATTTACAATTTTTTAATATTCGTCATTTTGCTAAAAACAGCTCTGATAGTCATCCAATAACGGATCTATACATTAGATATTGATGCTTTAGTAAGCCCCATTGAGATATCGATAAAATGGTTTCATTTCATATTTCATCCCTAGAAAGCCTTCAAGTGGTAGGAACTATGATAGGAAGCTAAACAAATCAAAAATTCGTTAACTACATTCGATTTGTATTTGTATTTATGTATTTGTGTTCAATGAAAAGTTAATTGCGGTTGCATAGGTGTTGGGGAAAATAGACTACTTTCAACCAAAAAAGAAGGCAAATAAAACAACAATATGAGACTTGTATCAACTCGACTCATTACTTATTCTAATTCTACTTGTTAAGGTACTTTAAAACTGTGGCTCGTTGATTTGAAATAACGAGATATCCAGTTAAGCTTTCTGTACTACGTATACTACCGAGTTCTACGTTTTGAGTATTGGAGGCTTCCAAAGAGTACCAAGATGACATTATTTGGCACGAATCGCAGCTTTTAGCTTCAATGCAAACTGTTGTATGAAAAAGTTACGCTTTTGCTCAATCGGCTCAACCTTTAGTTCAACGACCAGCAATAATTGCACTTTTCTGCTTCATTAATCTCATTATCTGCATTTTTTATCGATATACAAAATTGGGGTTAGTCTTCTTGGTGTACGACTATTAAGATCACATTTACTTCTGACTACAGTTCATCGAGAGAAATCAAGTTGTCTCAACAGTTCTCTAATATATAATACCCCGGGATGCCTATATAAACAAACAAAAAACTAGCGTAAATCAAGACCTACGGGATTTCTAACATATAAACTAAAGTTGGCTATCTATTATGAACTTTTAACCACAAACAATTAAATGCTCTGAAATAGTCCTTTGATGTTGCCGATGGAGAAGCAGGAGAAGTAGGCTAAGCCAGAAAACTCCACCATTTCAGAAGGGAGGCACGCTCCACAGTACACACGCACCAACTTGGAATATGCATCAACTCATTGCTCCTGGAGACGGATGTGGCAATTCTCACAAGATGATCCGTTTCCCACAACTCTGAATATTCGTCATTTCAACTTTTGTTCCTCATTTCCTGCAGTTTATCATATTCAATTAGGGCACACGGCTCGAATATAAGGCATTCTTTAGAAATTTCTAGATTAGATTACGCTTTCTACACAATAGTATTCAGAATTTCTGTCTTTTCGTATCGATATTTACGTTCTATAAATGCTTTTCTACTCGATGCAACCAGTTGCCTTAAAGCAGTTTTGACTTGATTGTCAAGTTTATCGTTCGCCTCGGTTGCAAATACAATTAACAGTTCTCATTCATGGTGATTGGAAGTAGAGCTGCCGTCAGAACATACTTACATATATCCATTGAATAATTGTGTCCTGATCTTGGTTACTGCACAACCAATTTAGAAGAAGTTGAATATCTGTCGCCGTGATAAACTAATGGTTATAAAAGGACCAAAAATTAAATGAAATGAGAACCAAGGCGATAATGGACTTTTATGAAAACTTAAACACCTGTGGGACATAAAGGCAATAACAGCAAAATAGAAGTAAGCAAAGACTCGAAACAATCGTCTTCCTCCGCCTCCTCCATAGGAGCCAGTTATTGAGGTGTCGAAGCAGGCGCTTTCTCATTTACCTTTGCCAACATTCGATCGGACTATTTTAAGAAGACCACGTGGGAGTGGAGGGGGAGGGGGCGGGGTTGGGGTTGGGGAATATTTTCCGTTAAGTCCACATCAATGGACAAAAAAGAAATATGTAAAAGGGCGTGTGTAAATAATAGAAGTGGTAATAAGATAGGGGAGAGTAATAAAATAAAAGTCTGGACGATATTTATTAGAGGGAAAAAATGATTTATTCGTGAGAGGGTAGGAGACGGTTTGTGTCGAAATTAGGCTGCCACATGCATGTAATCAGGTTAGTTTGTGCTCAGAATGAGGATGGTGAGAGTACTCGTAATCAAGGTGGACGAAAGCGCGTTCTACTTCGTCGAGAGACTCCAACTTCTGTTGTAGTGATTCGCCAATATCGTGGGCTTTGTGAAGATCCATATCATGGGGTAAAACGATATCAACCTAATGTAACGCTACTTAATTTAATTCAGTAGAAACAATACTTGAAGAACGTGAATTCTACTAACCTCAACCATGTAGTTATTGCCCAAGTGGAATGCTCGAACTGTGTCCAACCGTTCTATTAATTGATGATGGTTAACACAAATGAAGGTGATACGTTGTAGGAAGGCAGGATCAGCAGTGTGACCTGTCAGATTACGAGTATGCTCTACAAGGAGAGTTGGAATTTAAAGTCCCTTATGATCCATGTCTTACAAGGGTAATAATTGAAGTCGATTAATTTATTAATCGATGGCTTCATTTATCTTCTTAACAGAGCATCACAATTTTTTTTCTACAATTCTCACCAAGAAGCTATTACACTTTCTTGGGATAACAAAACCTTTCAACAGTATACATTGGGGTTTGCTTACGCAGACAAATCTCGGATAAGTTTCACCAAAATTAAATCGGACAAAAGGAAGAAGACTTCCACGAAGAAGAATTTGTATTATTAGGTTAATTTATTTAAAAAAAGCACTAAAATGGGTAAGAGAAGAGAAAATAATGTTTTACTCGGTTTTTTGAATACGACTAAGTAAGAATAACTTCATGTGTATGTCCCTAATATTATGCTAATCTAACTCCCCCCCCCCCTCGGGACCCCCTTTTTAATGTTGACTAATTAAATTAAAAGAATGAATTTCGTTTTTAATAGGGTGTAAAAACTTTAGCTGGATTGGTTTTGGACCACTCCTTGACCAGCTATAATCGAATTGGAAGAAGATATATCCTCATTTTCTATTGGCAGAGCATGCTTTTGGAAAAAATGTAAATGGAAGCAAAATTTACTCAGGGCATCTGGCGATTTGCTCTACCCTGGAGGGGGGGGGGATTAATTGATTCCGTCAGTAGCGTAGCTTTTGCCATCACTCTTTTTATTAGATATTCAACCAATTGAAAATCTGACAATATAGCTTTTGTCAATATATTCCCTGCACTATGATGCTGATGTCAGTCATATTGCAAAATGATGACAGTTAACCTAAATGAGTTAACAAATTTTCGTTCTTGTTTAATTTCTTGTTTTATGAACTCAGCCTGTATTTGGTAGTGAATTAAAATATCCTCAAAAAGCATTTTTCATGTTACTTCCTTCAACAATGAATGCTGTAAGGGGAAATTCTCCTACCCTTCACTGTGAAGAATAAAAACTTGTCAGTAATATAGGCGCACATTTATACCAATCACTAAAGGAAAAAACAGCACATATGTGCAAATCGAGCTATAGAAATACCTAAATCCAATAGCTTTCAGACTACACAAACATTCAAACTAGTGTCTAATCTAAAATGTCATAAGCTATGTTTTATAGTGGTCACTTTCATGAATGTTTGAAATATGTTCAATCTATCTAACTATCTATCTGTAAATGGTAATTATTGCACTCATCCATTTATTCATTTATTCACAAATCATCCATTCTGCACAAACGTTTTCATCTCTGAAAAATCATATTGAAGTCATATATGATAATCTCAATGAATATATAATTAGAAGCATCCTTAAAAGAAGATTTAACTACTGGTTTGAATGAACTCCTATTGCTCAGCAAAAACTTCCATCAATTAACCAATTAAAAATCTGCACATTTTGCCTATAGACATCGAGGTTTTTGATTGGTCAGTCGAAAGGATATTTGTCAAAACAGTCTTGCAATAACACATACTTGTAAGAACACTCGTTCTACAATGACCAACGCAGTGCAAAAGCGATTTTCCGGAATTCCAGAAAAAGGGGGTCGCAGAATTATCATAGCTGTAGATGGTTCTGCTAATGCAAAATATGCTTTCCAATGGTATCTTCAGTACTCAAGAATGCCTGATGATGGAGTGACATTTCTGCACTTTTTTGAAGCCCCCTCATTGACCGCATTCAGTTTAAGCAGTCTCGGATCCGTGCCTGTAGAGGAATGGAACAAGAAACTTCGTGAAAAGTTGGATAAAGTGAGACAACTTGAGGAGGACTACATTGCAGAAGGTCAAGCGGTGGCCTTGAATTGTACTTTCCTCAGTAAACCTGCCGAAAAGATAGGAGAAGGTATCATACGAACAGCTCAGGATATGAATGCGAATTTGATTATCATGGGAACTCGTGGCCTTGG